CATCCTTATCATCATCATCTCTTATGAGGCAGCATTGGGAATGCAGAGGACGCCACAATGATAGTTACAGTCATCATCATCATCATCCTTATCATCATCATGATGATGGTCATCATCATCATCATCACCCTTCTCATAATCACCATCATGGTCATCATCATCTCTTTCTTACTCTTATATTCGTTTGAAGTGTGGCGTTCGGCGCCATCGGTGATGCAGAGGATGCTACGGTGATAGTTATCATCACGATCCTCATCCTTATCATCATTATCATCATGGTCATCATCATCTCTTTTGGGGCAGCATTGGAAAAGCAGACTATGCTATGCTGATAGTTTTCATCACAGTCACCCTTGTCATCATTCTTCCTTATCATCGTGATCCCTTATGAGGCAGCATTGGTAACGCAGACGATGTTACGATGATAGTTATCATCGCAGTCATCATCCTTATCATCATAGGCATCATCCTCATCATCATCATCTCTTTTGAGGCAGCATTGGGAATGCAGAGGATGCTACAATGATAGTTATCATCACAGTCATCATCATCCTTATCATCGTCATGATGATGGTCATCATCATCACCCTTGTCATCGACATCCTGATGATCATCATCATCTCTTTCTTCTTCTTCTTTTACGTTTAAGGTGTGGCGTTCGCCATTGGTGCTGCAGCGGGTGCTGCGATGATAGTTATCATCACAACCCTCTCATCTCTTATGAGGCAGCAATGCTACAATAATAGTTGTGGTCACAGTCTTCATCCTTATCATCATTGGCCTCGCCGTCATCATCATCCCGCACTAGGCAGCATTGGTGATGCAGAGGATGCTACGATGATAGTTATCATCACAGTCATCATCATCATCATCATCTCCTTCTTATGCTGCAATGATATTTATCATCACAATCCTCATCCTTATCATCGTTATCATCCTGGTCATCATCATCTCTTATTAGGCAGCATTGGTGATGCAGAGGATGCTACAATGATAGTTAGCATCACAGTCTTCATCCTTATCGTCATTATCCTCATGGTCGTCATCACCCCTTATTAGGCAGCATTGGTGATGCAGAGGATGCTACAATGATAGTTCTAATAATAAATCACAGTCACCATCATCATCCTTATCATCATCATGATGATGGTCATCATCATCATGATCACCCTTCTCAACATCATCATGATGGTATACGCTTCAAGTGTGGCGTTAGGACCATTGGTGATGCAGAGGATGCTGCGACGACATCACAATCCTCATCCTTATCATCTTTCGCATCATTGTCATCATGGTCATCATCATCTCTTATGAGGCAGCATTGGTAATGCAGACGATGCTACGATGATAGTTATCATCACAGTCATCATCCTTATCATCATAGTCATCTTCCTTATCATCATGATCTCTCATGAGGCAGGATTGGGAATGCAGGAGGCTACGATGATAATTATCACCGCGGTGATCATCCTTATCATCATAGTCATCATGGTCATCATCATCATCTCTTATGAGGCAGCCTTGGTAATGCAGATGATGCTACGACGATGCTGGGTCGCTCCATCCGACCGCTTGCAGAAGTGGCCGGATGGGTCAGATTTGACTCGCTGGTGATGCTGGTTGAGGCAAATGGAACCAAGGACTGAAACTTGCGCAGCCCCATCTGTTCAATTTTCAGCCACACCCATTTCAGATCCAGCTAATCCAGCATAGTTCTTGAGACATTGCCTGTGGGAGATACACGTTCAGGCCGCAACCCAGCAGCTAGCGCACGTGAGGCAGCCAAGCAGGACGAAGCATGCCACGTCCAGCTCCCAGCAGAGCCGCAAACTCGGTGTCTGGATCACGCTGGTTCATGTTCAACGTATACGTTCGAACCTCGCCCGGCTGGGATCAGATTACTACCTTGCAAGGCTCTAGAGAGAAGCTCTATGGGCTGCCGCAACGCGCCGCCGACCCTGTGCATGCCGAGGATGCGTGAAAAGGAAAGTGATGAGCATCACATGAATTATGTGCTTCTGGCGGGTGCGTTTTTGGGCTTGTTTTTGGGTCCGGTTCTGGGTCTGCAGCCTTGGGCTTGCAAGTCTGCAGTCTTGCTCCGGTGATGCGGGTGATGCTGGTGATGCTGGAAATGTTGCTGGGAGCTGCCTTCCACACGGCGTCCTGCTGCAGCCTTGAAAAACTAGAAAAGCACGCGAAAATGCGACAAAAACCGGGGAAAACGTTTGGTTTTGGCATGCGTTTTGCTTGGCAACTGGCCCAGGCGTGCGTGCGTGCGCGTGCAGGCGCGCGGGCCTGCGCACGTGCGTGCGTGCGCGCATGCGTGCGAGCTTGCGCGCATGCGTGCGTGCCTTCGTGCATGCGTGCGTGCGCGCGGGCGCGCGCGCGTCTGCGTGCGTGCGCGCGTGCGCGCGTGCCTGCGTGCGTGCGTGTGCGTGCGTGTGTGCGTGTGTGCGTGTGCGTGGGTGCGTGGGGGCATGTGTGCGTGTGTGTGTGTGTGTGCGTGGGTGCGTGGGGGCATGTGTGCGTGTGTGTGTGTGTGTGCGTGTGTGTGTGTGTGGGTGCGCGTGCGCGTGCGCGCGCCGCGTGCGCGTGTGCGTGTGCGTGTGTGTGTGTGTGTGTGCGCGTGTGCGTGCGCGTGTGCTAGTGTGGGTGTGTGGGTGTGTGTGTGTGTGTCTCTCTCTGTGTGTGTGTGTGTGTGTCTGTGGGTGTGTGTGTGTCTGTGTCTGTGTGTCTGTGTGTCTGTGTGTCTGTGTGTCTGTGTGTCTGTGTGTCTCTGTGTGTGTGCGTGCGTGAGAGCGCGTGCGTGCCCGCGTATGTGTGCTTGTGTGCGCGTGCCTGCGTGCGTGCGGGCGGGCGGGGGGTGAAGGGGACATGGCGAAATGACGGGAAATGGATAGAAAATAGATGGAAAATGTGGAAGATGGATGGAAAACTGAGGGAAGATGTTTGGAAAATGGATGTGTGTATGTGTGCAAGTAAGGAAATGTGTGTTTATGTTGTTGTTGTTGTTGTCGCTGCTGCCTGCTTAGCCGTCCTTGCAAGAGCTGTGAGGTTGAGCCTCGCGATGCTGCCGCGGCCGGTTGTGCACCAGCAGCGTAAATCCGGCCGCGGCCAACTGGCCGAACGGCTGTGTCAGATTGCCCGCCTTGGTCCTTTGGCGCAAGGCTCTAGAGCGAAGCTCTATGGGGCTGCCGCACCGCGACCCGCGATGCCGAGGATGCTGGCGGAGTTCAGCGTCGCGCTGCTGCCGCGGCCGGTTGCGCGCAAGCGACGTAAATCCGGCCTCGCCATGCAATTTCGCCCAAAGGGGCGCATGCCTAGGCTTTGTCCGACTGACGGTCGCTGCCGCCAACCCCTCGCATCGTCTGCATGCCCAGCGCCTTTGGTGCATCATCACCGTTCGAGCTCGAGTTGGCGAAAGGCTCAAAAAACTGCAAATATGCAGCAACTCGGCTGCATTGCCAGCATCACCGAGGCTTGCGGAAGCCCTTTGTATTTTTCACGCATCGCCTGCATCCCTTGCATCGCCTGCAATTGGGGCCATTATTCCCCAAGCCATTCCTGATGGCGCGCACGCGCGGGGGAGGGCAGGCGGGCGGGCGGGCGGGCGGGCGGGCGGGTGGGCGTGTGTGTGTGCGCGCGCGCACACTCCCAAAAATCCGTCCATCCATCCATCCGTCCCCAATCCCATCCATCCATCCAGGCGTCCCTCCATCCACCAGCCATGCCTCCAGCCATCAAGCCATCTATCCATCCATCCACCCACCATCCAGCCATCCATCCACCCACCATCGCGCATGGCTCGGCTTTTCCTACGCGAGGCCGGCGCGCGGAGCGTGAAAATTTTAGCTTAAATGCAGAGTTGGCCATTTGGAGAAGAACCCACTTCTGGGAGATGAAGTGACACAGGACATCTTTTGGTTGGCGTGTGGCATGCCCGAAACAAAGTTTGAAGTGCGGCTTCAAACTTTGTTTCGGGGATGCTTTCTGCCGTGGGATTCGCTCCCTCTGCCCGCGGAAACGCAACAAATCTGCTCCTTGCTGGCATGCCAACTCACGGAGCTGAGCTGTGGTACTTCGAAGTTGCCACTTCAACCCGAAGTGCATTCCGTGCACTAACGTCGCGCTTGAACAAACATTGCTTTCGGCCCCGACCTGCAAAGGTGTGATTCGTGCAAGAACATGCTAACCAGATCTGCGAGAACGTACAACCCTTCCAAAGCCACACTCGCTGCATCTTGCCAGTAGGAAAGCTTGCCATACGTCCGCAAAAGGTTTACAATTTGGCCGCGGAATGCAGGATCTTGACAGTTTCAAGGATTGAAAGTCAGCCATTCGTTGCATCTTGTTGTGCCAGTAGCAAACATGTGACGCCCAATTCTGCAGAAAGTGCGCAGAAGGTTGATTGAAGAGCGTTAATAAGGCGACAAGGAAAGCAGGTGGGCTTGTAACTCGCAGCAAAGACATTTGTTTCAATCATCATTGGCTGTGAGAGTAGCGACAAATCCACTTTGGGATCCAGGCGCCTCATTTCCTGGCATAATGCAGGGCATGCCGGCATTTGGGGATGAGAAGCGCCCGCAACATGACGAAAAGCACCCAGTTGTCACAGTGTTGCGTGGAGAAGCTACGTGTAGGTGTCCAGGCCAAGTGTTTCCTGAAAAGCCTTCAAAATCGCCGGAGTTATCCTCCTTTGCGTTTTCCCAGAGCGCAAGCAAGGACTTCAGGATCTGCAAATAAAACTTCATCTGGGCCTTGAAATGGAAGCATCCTTTGGAAACAACTGCCCAGAAAATGCGGGCAAGCTTCCTGATACAGGGATCGACATTCATAAAATGACTTGAAGTTATCTGTGGTCAACGCCAGACGCAAGCAGCGTGCATCACTGGGAACAAGCCCCACAAACAGAGCAAATGCCTGGGGCGCCTAAAAAGAATGCTCAGTACTCCTTCTTGGACGAGAACTTTGTTGCGTAAGAAGAAGCGAAACGTGAAACAAGCCATTCTTCGGCCAAAGCCATAGCACGCTCAAAAGGTGTTTTCAGCGGGCGCAACATGTCATGGTCCAATGCGCACCCGCCCCACCCCCCGCTCCGCAATGGCAGCGCGAGCAAAGGGCTCGGCGCCGAGCTTGAGGTATGAACGCTCCTGGAGAGTGAGTGATGTGGCTGCAGTCTGCTGTGTCGTGAATGTTCTCTCAATCTGTGGAGTTACTGCTGTAAGCTTCGCCGGGCTGCGGCATGACGCGACAGCCTCACAAGGTGTGGCATGCGGGTTTTGCCGGCTGCTACTGCAACAGCAACGGCTGCTGCGGCTGCGGATGCTGTTGCCTATCTCATTGCCAAACAACCTGTTGGCTCAACACCAAGAACACACGCCATAGGCTCGAAGCTGCGGTGTTGGGCTCAATCACCTGCGGCCCAAAGGTGATTGGCCGCACTCATTCATATGGAGCGTGAACGAGTTTCAAATCAAACCAGCGCCGTCTGAGGGCTCTTCAAAGATCAAAGTAAAAGCCCTGGTCACTGAGGAGGTTCGCTCAGACTCCGTTCACCGCTTATTGCACCCTCTGCATAGTTTTCGCCGCATCAGGGCCGCTGGCATGCTGTGCTGAATGCTGTGCTGAGGAACGCATGGCCTCCTCTGAGGCAAGAGCCAGAACCTGTTCACCAAACCAAGAGCTTTTGGGGAACCATGGCAGCAAGACGTGTGACAAGAAGCCCGACAAAAGAGTGGCACGCTGCCAAGTAGACATGGCAAACGACGGAGCGGGCCGCCCTGTTTCCAAAAGAACTGAGCGAATTTGTTTCAACGCCCGCCCTCGGCTGGGGCCGCGACCCGCTTCGCCAAGAAGCCTTCAGGATCCGGAAAGCGGTTGGACAGAAAGTTGCGTGACAAAGCCTGCGCAAACTCCAGGCAGTCAGAGTTGCGGCGCCCTCTTCCGTGGCTATTCAGGCATTAGACCTTGACGAGCCATGCGACCGGCTCTTCTTGTAATTCCACTTAATCAAAACTAACTGATGGGAATGGAGAAGGAAGGGAACAAAGTGACCAAGAATATGTTCTACTCGCTCCCAGCCATGGCATTCCTATCTTAGAGCCGCCTGGCTTCCTTTCCTCATTATTTCCCCACCTTGGAACTCGCTGCGTCCTCACAACATCCATTCGCTGCATCGGTTACCTTCGGCGTGTGAAAGATGTCTGGACCACAGTGCCTTTTCAAACACCTTGCCACTCGAACACATCATTTCAAGGGTTGTCGCAGCCTACGGACACCGCCTCAACGCCTGGGCCTCGCAGCAGGCCCCCAGGCCTAAGGACTCAGGCCCAAGGGCGAAACCGTGAGACGGCAGATGACTGAGGATTTTCTCAGTGACTGAGGCAGACAAAAGGCAACCTGACCGCGAGCGTTTTGCTGGCCTAATAATGCAACAAAGGGGCCCGACATGGTCTGACAGTTCACCACCGATGGGTAACAACTAGTTTTTCTCCGTATCAAGCTCTGCTTGCCGTTGACTGCCTAGGCGACATGTGTTGGGGCGCAACGCAATTCAGCTACATGTTTTGTTGGGCTGGAGTGACGCGGATCAGTCCAGTGCTGATTACGTCGAGCAAATGGGTGGTGCCTTGGCGTCTGCCAGGGCGGATTGGCCTTGATCCTTGGGTTGCAGATAGGTGTCACAGAACCCTCTTATAACATTCAAGATGCCCGTGCACGGCACCAATAGGGGCACCGCGCGGTCCGAGCGCTGGTGTACTCGGTCGTGGGGAAAAAGCTTGATCTTCCCCATTCGTCCCTTTCCGGGTTCGGAGGCAAATTCCGTCGCCGTCTCATCACTAGAACCGGTGGCCCGAAAGCGTGACATGCAGCGAGCACGGCATATTGTCAACTGCGGTCATTGGTTCCGCGCGCCATCTGGAGTCCAGCAAGGGCACTGCAAAGCAAAACGTAATCTTAGTTTCTCGCGCCCGTATTCTTACGCTAGCAAGTTGCTAGCGCGCTTGTGCGAGTTTGCTCGCTCAAGTGCGCGTGTGCAGCTGTGCAAGTTGCTTCGCGCAAGTACTCTGCGCAAGTCGCAGTGTGCAAGTTGCCCTGCGCGAGATTCACCACGCCCATCCCCGCAGAGGGTCGCGCGAGCACCAGTTCTTTTTCGCACACCCAAACAGTAGCAAACGTCCTGTTTTTGCGAGTCGAGCACGCCGATCCCCTGGAGGGTGTCATTTCTGCAGAGTGGGCTCAGCCCCGCCACGCCGCCCAAAAAAACAACTGCAATCTCTCGCGCGGATTTTCTCGCGCAAGCTTGTCGTCGTGCGAGCTTGTGCTCGTGCGAGCACAAGCTCGCAAGCGTGCCCGCGCAAGCGTGCAAGCGTGCTCGTGCAGATGCGCTCGTGCCAGCGCGTCGTGCAAGTGCGCTCGCACAAGTGCGCTGCTTGCAAGTGAGCTCGCGCAAGTGTGCTCTTGCGCGTTTGCTAGCGCAAAGCGTGCCCGCGCAAGTTTGGTCGTGTGATGGCGCTCGTTGGGTTGGCTGGCAAATTTGTCAGAAGAACTCGCTTGCATTTTCGGGACAAAGAGTCTATTCTGAGAAGGTTGTCTCAACTGGGAGCATACCCAGGACTCCAAAATCGCCAAAAATAGGGGGCGCAATGCAAAACACCTTAGAACTATCGGAGATAGCAGTTTGCACAGGGCTGCCATGACAATTGGGTCAGCCCGTGAAGGGAATGCAATGTGAAATTTATGATGTTGACAAGTGCGCTTTTGCACATGAAATTCAAGCAGTCTTCGCGCGCACTCACACAGGAACAGAAGACTTCAGAATGACTGCACAAGTACCCACGAGGAAGCGGTTTGGTTTATTCATCTTGAACGGCCCTGATGTTTCAGAAGATCCAGCAGGTGCAATCCGCATGACGACAGGCGAGCGCTCTGACGGGATATTCTAATTGAATCCAATTGTTCGACTTCTGACGGGTTCCAGGTTGCAATAGCCAAGCGCTTGTGATGTTTGGGAGCTGGCCCGGCACGTAAATCAACTTCAATGGAAATGGCCGCTTTCTGAGGTTCACTCACCGTGAGTATGACCAGCTTCGTGAGATGCCACATTTTGCCATGACTCTTCCTCTTATTTCCGAGCAAGGTTGTCGACACTTGCCTCCCTTGAGCCTCTCGGCAGGGAATGTCCTTATGTGGGCGGTCGAACCCTTTTTTCTTGAACCAAAAGGGGCATTAGCTAATGTTAGCTGATATGATTCTTATCCTTATCCCTGCAGCGTGCTGGAGCAAGGGGCAAGGTCTGGTTGAGGTACCGCCGCAGGTCGAGCAAATCTTAGTCTCAAGTCCATCTGAGATGCTGTTTCGAGAAAGGGAAACCACAGTGAAACCACTCTAGATAGATATCCAAATTTCCACACGTCCATGTCTCAGTTCTGCGCAGCTTTTTCCCCCACGCATGGAAAAATAAGAGCCTGCTGAGCCACAGACAAAATGCAGCCACAAAGACTTGGATGCTCCTCTAGATAGTTCAATTGGCGTAAATACATCCACGGCTCCCAAAGTCACCAGGCGGACATAGTCCAGTACTCGAAGACCAAAGAGCTGAGCACGAAGAAGCCTTGGCTGAACAATCGGAGGGTTCGTCAGGTAGTTACGTACCCTGTTACCCTTTGAAAGACGCTAAAGATTGATGACTTGTTGAGCTGAGACTGACAAATAGATTGACTGACTGATTTGACGCAGACAAAGAGAGAGCGAGAGGCAAAGAAAGGCGCACTCTTTTTTTCCATTTGCAATGGCGCTTGGCTGCTGCGCCCAGCTGCTGTCATTCTAGTTGCAAGTGTCAACACAAACCCATGGCTCTGCTGCGTCCGGGTCCAAGTCTGGCAGTCATCGTCTTCACCGCAAAGAGAGCCGTGCTCAAGTACCGGCTTCCTTGGCTGTGCTGCAACTGTCCGAATTCTCTGACAGCTACAAAAGAAGGACCAACCGGTCACTTACTCAAGACTCTAATCATGCCAAACCTGGTCACCTTGAGCAACATACAACCAAGACACTTGGCACCGGCGGCTTTTTTGAGGCCCGAGTAGGTGGAGCGCCAGAAGCCTTTGGAGTCGCTCCATTGGCCATAGCGCGGCCCCGTCCCGCGCCCGGCACCGGCGAGCAAAGGAATCCAAGATTCGGCGATTCGGTAAGGGGCTCCAGCGGGAATTTGGGAATTTCCTTGAGTTCCAGAAGGCCAGCGCGGTCAGGAAATAGGGATCCACCCCGACGATCTTGTGGCCCGCAAAGGGCTCCAAACTCTGTGCGTCGGGGATCGCCGCGGTGGATGCGAGGATGGCGTCTTTGCCAAGGACTTTGACGCGCTTGCCTCAGCGCTCTCTATACTCCTCAAACTTTCCATCTCAACTGCTTGATCCACAGCAGGCCTGAACGGCTGGACGGAGGCAGAGGCTCCACACTGGATCTGACAGGCCTTCTCCTGCGAGCGCCAGAATTCCAGATCGTTGGCCTTGCAGCCATGAGTGGGGTTCATTTCACGCATCTGCAGCGGCACACGATCGATCACGGTCCAAGACTCCTCGGAGAGCAATGGAAGCCGCCTGCCGTTCATGAACCCTCCAAAAACAAATGTCCGCTCTTCTCCATTTACGAGCTTCCATTCAGAGAACTTGGGCTGCATGAAGTATTTCTCAGCTGTGGCAAACGTCATGACCATGTGGGCATGTATAACAGCTCCAGCTGGAAAATCGCAACTTTGTAGTGCAAGTGTAGCACGCGAAGTACACTCAAATCGCAACTTTGTAGTACAAGTGTGTGGCAAACGAAATACACTTCCGCAGCTCCAGCTCGCAATCGCAACTTTTCAGTACAAGCGTTGTACGTGAAGTACACTTCCGCAGCTCCAGCTGAAATCGCAACTTTGTAGTACACGTGTAGTACGCAAAGTACACTTCCGCAGCCAAGCTGGAAAATCGCAACTTTGTAGTACACGTGCAGTACGCGAAGTACACTTCCGCAGATCCAGATGGAAAATCGCAATTTTGTAGTACTGGTGCAGTACACGAAGTACACTTCTGCAGCTCCAGCTGAAAAATCGCAACTTTTTGGTACAAGTGCAGTACGCGAAGTACATTTCCGCAGCTCCAGCTGGAACATTGTAACTTTGTAGTACAAGCTTAGTACGCGAAGTAAACTTAAATCGCAACTTTGTAGTACAAGCATAGTGCGCGAAGTACACTTCCGCAGCAATCGCAACTTTGTAGTACACGTGAAGCATGCGAAGTACACCTCCGCAGCTCCAGCTGGAACGAGAGTACGCGAAGTACACTTCCGCAGCTCCAGCTGAAAAATCGCAACTTTGTAGTACAAGTGTGGTACGCGAAGTACACTTAAATCGCAACTTTATAGTACAAGCGTAGTACGCGAAGTACACTTCCGCAGCTCCAGCTGGAAAATCGCAACTTTGTAGTACACGTGTAGTACGCGAAGTACACCTCCGCAGCTCCAGCTGGAAAATCGCAACTTTGTAGTGCAAGCGTAGTACGCGAAGTACCTCCAGCTCGAAATCGCAGCTTTCCAGCGAAAGCGCAGTGCGTGAAGTATACTTCCGCAGCTCCAGCTCGAAAATCGGAACTTTGTGGTACAAGTGTAGTAAGCGAAATACACTTCCGCAGCTCCAGATGGAAAATCGCAACTTTGTAGCACAAGTGTTTTACGTTCCGCAGCTCCAGCTGGAAAGTCGCAACTTTGTAGTACAAGTGTAGTAAATGAAGTATATTCTCCGCAGATCCAGCTGGATAATCGCAACTTTGTAGTAAAACTGTGGTATGCAAAGTACACTTCCGCAGCTCCAGCTGGAAAAATGCAACTTTGTAGTACAAGCGTAGTACGCGAAGTACACTTCCGCAGCTCCAGATGGAAAATCACAATAGTACAAGTGTAGTAAACGAAGTACACTTCTTCCGCAGCCACAGCTCGAAATCGCAACCTTATAGTACAAGTGTAGCACGCGGAGTACACTTCCGCAGCTCCAGCTGCAGATTGTCAAGTCTAGTTCTACAAAACGTTATCGTTTTTCCCTCCTTATCGTTTTACAGAGTTTTGGGAGACCTCAACAAAACGTCCCACCCTGAGTAAACTGCAATTGGGGGCTTATTATCAAGCCCATGTGATTGACCTTGGAATTCAAACACATGGCAATTGGAGAGTTCGGTGCAACAACCTTAAGACTGCAAGGCTCATAGACCTCAGAACTCGACTTCCTTGCAGGCCACATCCGTTTCCGGGAGGCTGGTGCGGAAGCTCCGCGCCGCCTCCTCCTTGACCACTTCGCTGAAAGCCACGAGTTGCTCCGGTCCAGTCGTGAGCTGGCGCAGGGCTCTTTGGACTCCTTTGTGTCCTGCCAAGAGAGCCCCCCTCGCCATTGTTTGAAGTGTGAGAAACATGGAACACGTGTGAAAGATCCGGTTTAGTGACTGAATGTGGGGGTATGACTTCAGAAAAGGGCCGCACCTTGTCCGCCAAGAGTAGTAGCCATCTCCAAGCAGCGGAACAACCCGATCCGAATCGATACCACAACTTGGGACTGCTTGGCACGAGCTCACAAACAATGCTGGAGGCAGTTGGCTTGGTGCAGCAGCATAGATACTCCCCACTCTCAAAGCGCGCCGTGTCCTCGCAATATCTCGACCGAACGTACACTTCCGAAAGCTTGATGTCTTGTGAGTCTGGGCACTTCTAGACATTTGTCGGGCTAGTATCAGGCTGGCTCAGGTTCTATGTTGGAGCCTCTGGCACGAATGCGATGTGACACAACATTTTCCGGTTCGGCCATGCATCTCGAATCGACAAATTGTGTGGACAACACAAAGGCCACCAAAACCAACAAAAGCCTTCCAGGCATGCAGCATGGCCCGACAAACAGAGGCTGTGGGAAACGAGCCACAGGCGACACTTGGATACCAAAGCCGTGTCCTTGGAACCAAACTTGGTCAAGTCGCAGCGAGTTCAGCCGCAGTTGGATGCCGCTCCTCCACTTCCATCTGCTCCCTGGGTCCGAGTCAAATGACCCATTTGCACAGCCCTAATATCGAACATCTATGGCAAAAAAAATCACACCGAAAACAATACTCAAGCCTCAAAGAATGCCAATATTCAAATGTCTCAAGAAGTCCATGCAGATCTCGGAGAAGCTACAAGCGAACACGGCGACTCCCCAGGTGGCCGCGGCCAGCGTCACCAAAGCGATGCCGTCCTTGCACCGGTGACACCCCAACTCGTGCGACTCATCTCGTTGATTTGGTCGTTGTGATCGTCCTGGATGGCGTGCAGGTCGTAAGCGCGCAGGGCCGCAAAGGAAAACCTCTCCCCAGGCTGCACGTTGTTCTGTGCATAGACACGCGCAAGCTTTGGCAGAGCCAGCAAGTTCAGCGGCAAGGAGGAGTTGTTGATAATGGAGAAACGCAAGGCAGAGTGACTGCTACTCAAGTTCACAGTCTGGCCGTCTGAATGACGAAATGCAGCAACGCGAGCGACTAGCGCAGCCAGTAAATTTAGCCAGCCTCGCGCCATCGCTGGATTTGTCAAACGATGCTTAGCTGGCAAGGCGGCAGCAGCGGTTGCTAATCCCGTTCTCCTGGGCCCCTATCCTCATTGGGCGGGGCTTTGAAGAACCTGCCAATCTCCACTTGTTGGGAATTCTGATTCTGCTGAGGCCAACTCGGCCCTCTTTGGGGCACTGACTTATCATCCACTTAAACTCCCTGGATGGGCCGATCCAGCGCGATTGCTCGCTATCCGCCGAGCTACGGGAACCATGCTACGAGGTGCGCAAAGATCAAGCCGGAGGGGCCTACGGTGGACCGCATCAAGCAACTCTAGCAATTTGGCGGGGGATGTTCAAGCAGGATTGAAGGCACAAACAGCAAGCCAGGCCTGCAACTCCTCCAACAAGTCGACCTTTCGTCCGCCAAAATCGCTGCAAGCCCCGCATCGCGTAGTCAGCACTTAGCTGGTGCGCGGAAAGATGGGTGCTCTGAACCCTACACCCCTCCAAGCCTGCCCTGCCATGGTCAAAACATTATGAAAAGAAGTCCTGTTGTGGCTTGCTTGAGGAGAGCTCTTTTGCCCTGGACAAGCCCTTTGCGTTTTCAGCAGCATCACCAGCCTCGTTGGGCCGCACTTTAACTATAGCGTTCAAACCAAAACGGCCATGAGGCGCAAAGTTTGCCATCTCGAAGGCACGCAAGATCTGCTGGTACCAGCACTCTTTGCAAAGAGCGGCGCTGGAGTTAGACATTGGAAAGCCTCAGTCTCGCAGTCCGTTTTCCCTCGGCCACTTCAAAGTTCTCACTGCCAAGCGGCAATGCGCCCGATGACGATATAGTGCAAAGGCAATAACTGCTGGGCGTAGACCAGAACGATGACGCATCTCCAGGTGATTGGACACCTTACCAAGCTGACAAATTGCACTCATCGAGCAGGCTTTGAGTTGCACCGATTGAGCCAAGCAGCTTGATACACATTGATAATTTCCTGTCAAACTGGACATGAATTGACAAGGGACTTTTTCGCAGATGTTGGGCCAGAGAGAGGATCCCAACGTGCCTCAAATATGCGGCCAGCCCGTCAACCCTCTTTCAACGTTCTCCCACACCCTCCTTCGTCAGCACAAGGCCAACCCGAGTGACCTGGCTGCAGCGCAAACGGGCACGGATTGATGCGACGCCTCATCTTTTGCAGGCGGGCAGCGTCAGCCCCGCGTGGAATCCATCCTGGTGATAGCCATCGCACGCGACGCGGCCCTCGCAACTTTTTGCTCGTCATGCGCGAGCCGGCTAGCCAAGAAGTTGAACCCGGTTATGAGCTTGTTGTAAAAACATGTTTCAAGGTGTGGCAGCTGAAAACCAAAGAAAGATGTGCGTCCTTTCCAAGGCCACACCAGTGCGGAGGGCAGTTCTTCCCCCGCGGTGGTGAATCCCGAGAGGCGCATCTGCTGCACCTGCACCGCATAAAGCGACACGGCTGACGTGGCTGATGCTCTGTCAAGAAAGAAAAACTGGCCTCTGTCAACGCCTTGCCATGAAGCTGGTCAATGGCAAGCTCCAAAAGCAGGTCCTCAGGCATCAGGCGCCTTGCCTGGATCAATTGAAACTGATCAACATTGCTGCAGCTTATAGACTCAACCTTTCGAGGTCTTGTGGAATGAAAACTCGGCAAGACAAAAATACTTGGCAAAACAGAAGCATTCACATCTGTCCAAAAGCTGTTGCTATTGTTTGTCGTTGCCCAACATCTGGAACCCCTTCCCGGATGACATGCAGCTTCTGATGGACTCCCATTTGCCAGCAGGCTGAGGCACAGGCCTTGGGAAATCTACCCTCGCCAGCTTCAAGCGACGTTTTTACTCGCAAACGGTTTCAACATGTCCTGGTTAAATACTACATGTTCTGTTGCCGCCGCGGAAACAACTTGGAAGATAGCCAGCGGACGCCCGCACAAGTTCATAAGATAACAGTGCTATACCACACCACAGCAGGGGGAGAATGGAGCGAAGTAAGGCACGTCTGTACATAAACATAGCTCCGCAAGCTCTTTAAGAAAATCGCCACGCCTGGCCGTTGGACACAAATGTGCTCTGATTTTTTCGTCGTGCCGCGGCTTCTGCATGTTTTTCGCGCTAACTGTTCGAGCTGTAGAAGCTCATCGTCAAAGATTGGACGGACGCCAGGTCTCGGAGCGGGGTGCCCATGGGCACGGCCGCGCGTGTTCTTTCGAAACCATCCTCTGCGGACTTTGGGTGTCTAGTTTTCTTGACTTTCACTTACCTCGTACGGACTTTTGGTGGCTCGGCCCCACATGACGAGAGAAAGAGAGAGAGAGAGAGAGAGAGAGAGAGGGAGAGAGACAGAAAGAAAGAAAAGAAAGAAAGAATGGAAGAAAGAAAGAAAGAAAGAAAGAAAGAAAGAAAGAAAGAAAGAAAGAAAGAAAGAAAGAAGCAGAAAGGGAAATACCAAGAGATATAGAAAGATGACGAGACGGAGGACGGGAAAGGTAGAGAGACGGAGATGAGAAAAGACACAAGGAACGAGAAAAGAAAAGCAGCAAGAAGACGAGAAAGAAGAAGAGAAAGAAGAAGAGAAAAAGACACAGAAAAAACAAGAAGGAAAGACAGAAAGACAGAAATATAACCAAAGAACGAAAGAAAAAAAGAAAGAAAGAAAGAAAGAAAAAAATAAAGAAAGAAAGGAAGAAAGGAAGAAAGGAAGAAAGGAAGAAAGGAAGGAACATGATAACGAACGAAAGAACGGTACACAGATCGAGAGTGTAAAGCTGAATGGAGACCAGCACGCACACATACTCAACCTGGATTGAAGCATGGCAGAGCGCATCCCTTTTCACAGGACCACATGTCTGAGACCCAAAGGCGCCCTGCAGCATCTTGCGCATCCACGCACTGTGTCCCCAAATGAGGCTTTCACACAAAGCATCTTTGAAGCTCTTCTCTTCAGGCGAGCCAGGCCGGCCATGAGACACTTCTATCGCTCTTATTCTGAACCGGGGAGATCGGCTCCGCGTGCCATGCCCCATGGAAAATTTGTCGAGTTCCTCATCGTGGCGTACTTCAGCTGGCTTCCCTTGAATTGCCAGACATCTCTCACTGCTCAAGGAGTCAAACAGACTCTTCGAACCTACGATCAGAACGCGCTCTGCGTCAGCGTGCTTGCAGCTGTCATTGGCGACGACGCCTGCCTGCAAGACCTCCGCCACCTCGATTGCAGGTGTGGCCTGTGCGTCTGATGATCCACCCTTGCTGCGACTTTTTCTTGCCGCTGGCGTCGAAGGCTGAGCACGCGGCAAAACTTTTCCTCGGGCGTCTCCTTCAACATCACACAAGCGCTCCGGCCTAAGATCTGGAAAGCCCAGTCAACCGCAACCCTTCTTGTTGTGAGAAAAACAGAAAATCGGGCGCGTCGAAAAAACCAGGTCTCTCAAGAACTTAACCGGTAATTCGCGCGCAATTTACCTGTGATTTCCCGCGAAAAAAACTTGGTAACAGGCCCCGCAAACCGGAAATATGTTGCGAGAAGCCCCAGCCAAAATCGCACGCTGCATCCTTCTTCAACTCGATCCGCCATGTGATTTTCGGCAGGGTTTCCAAACAGCGTTACCAAGTCTACAACGCCCGAATAGGCGGGCTTGTTGCCTGACGTCTTGCAAGTCGGGCGCCAGCCACGAAACGGCATTCGGTTGCCCGGCCCTGCCACACGCAGCTTCACCTCGCGGATGTTGAGTTCCGATCCACGGCTTGCAGGGCCGTGCGCACAGGTGTAGACGCTTGTGGCGGCTGGCGTCGGCGATGGTCTTCCCACTTCCGCTACGCGGGCCCGTCCAGCGCGCGCCATCTTGCTGGCGTAGTCCGGATATTGCTGTCGAAATTTTCCTGGCTCTTCCAGCGACATGACCCTGACCGCCTTGTTTCTGCAAGGGGCCATCCATACACTTCAGGAAGCTCTGGTTCTGACTCATTCCATCTGCGGGTGGGACTACTTGGGGAAAGTGTGGAATCCTTGCTCGCTACCAGAGAAGTGGCACGCTTTGCGGACCAGAAGCAGGTGTATCCGAACCACGCTGCCGTCTGCGCTGCGTCCGTGCGTCAGGTGGAACTGGAGGACTGAGAACTAATGTTCAACGAATCCTTTGGAGCCTGCCCTTGGGCCACTGTAAAGCTCGATGAACCCATCACACACAGAGGCACTCACTTGTGAACAGCATGTCCCCGTTCAGGGCCGCATGTCTGAGGCTCAAAGCGACTTGCGGCAAGTTACGCCTTCATGCACAATGTCTGTGAAGGTTGCGTCTCAAAACAGAAAGAAAGAAAAAAAGAAAGAAAGAAAGAAAGAAAGAAAGAAAGAAAGGAAGGAAGGAAAGAAGGAAAGAAGAAAATAAGGAAAGAAAGAAAATAAAGAGACAGAGAGACAGAGAGACAGAGAGACGGAGAAACAGAGAAACAGAGAGACAGAGAGACAGAGAGACGGAGAAACAGAGAGACAGAGAGACAGAGAGAGAGAACGAGGAGAGACAGAGAGACCTACAGAAAGAGAGAGAGAGGAAGAGACAGAGAGAGACAGAGAGAGACAGAGAGAGACAGAGAGAGAAGAGAGAAGAGAGAAGAGACAAGAGAGAAGAGACAAGTGAGAAGAGAGCAAGAAGATGGAAAAAATGCGCGCGAGTTCTGATTAGATCGAAAAAAGCTTCCCCGGCTTTACTGTTAGACGCAACCCCAAGCCAGCCACGAATGCGTGCTTCAAGCCTGAACTGCACCTTTACACTTCGCATATGTTTTGAAAGGCTCTGCGGCGTTGAGCCGAACACGGCAGAAACACATGTCCAGCACACTTGAAAACCTTGCAGTGCGACAAGGCAGGATAGTGCAACAGCTTGAAGCCCATCTTAGGCTTGCGCCATGGCAGCCGCAGGCGGCGACTCGAAAATGTTTGGCCAGCTTTCGTGACTCAGCGAGGCAGCGCTGCAAGGCATGGTTCAACTAGAAACGACCCCCCCCTCTGTCAAACAATTTCTCTCGCTGAACGCCCGACGCTGGCAGATCTGCGGCTTCTTGGCACTGCCAAAAGCTGCCAGCAAACAACAGCCGCGTCAATCATTAACTCACACAGCGCATCGGCAACCTCCCTCAAACAAAACGCAATGTCTGGCGCAACTGTCCTTAGACTGCTGGATCTCAGTGGCTTGCTGCGGGGCTTTGGCTGCCGGGCCCGAGCTAGTGTGTTTAATGGGTTCAGAAACTGCCGTTCGGACCCTTGCGAGCGTCATTCATTCTTGGTCGTTTTTTGGTCGCGCCATGGGTGCGCCCTGGCGCTGCTGGCTGCTGGGCTGCGGCTCTTAGTCGCATTTTGCTGCGGTGAGGTGTGGCGGAGGGCCCTTGCGCGCGCCTGCGGGCGCTCTGGCTGGCCTACTTTTTGGGTTCAGGAACTGCGGCCGCCCCTCTGACCGTCATTTGCATCCCTGGTTGCGCCCTGGCCGCGCCTTGGCTTGGTCTAACGCTTGCTGCAAGGCTTTGGCTGCCGTGTCAAGCGGCCCCCTCCCGGCCCCTCCAGCAGAACTTGGGTTGCGCCTGGGGTAAACCCTTCAAAAACCGCTCGACCGTGAAAACTCTACAGGCACGCCCCAAATCTACACCAACACATGCTCATAAAACGAAACCGTTTTTTGAAGACTTGTTCACGGGGGCAGTTTGGTCGCAAGGGCTCTCATTAGATTTCCGCACCACCTCAAACAAGGTTGGGCAGAACTTCGCAATGTCGGGTAGATGCGTTTTCCCGAGCCTGCCTTGACTGGGCAGCACTTTGGGGTGTCGTTGTGGGTAGATGCGTTTGCCTGAGCCCGAAAAACGCACCTTGGCCCGGCCATGACCTCGGTTGTGGGCTTGGCCATGACCTAGAAACCCTCTCAAACACGCTTTTCGCTTGTGCCCGCGGTGGCCTTGAAAGTTGTGCTGACAGGTGGGGGGGCCGCCTCACACACAGCCTGACAGACAGACTGTGTAGTGTATCATCTGCAGGCCCGAGTGGAAGATGAAGCAGAACAAGCAACAAACCCCCTTGAAGATTGGGCAGCTGCGGCTCTGTTGCGAAGTGAAGGCTGCTTAGGCTTCATTGGCGCACGCGTTGGCAAACTTAAGGCTAACGTGCTGGATGCGCTTGATTTCGATGGCACTTTCAAAGGTGAGGATCTTGTGTGTGTGGCAGGTGGCCTTACTTTCCCACCGGCCAGGTAGAGCAGCTGTCCAGCACACCCAACTGAGCTCTCAACCTTGGCAACGGTAATTTGGCGGGGTGATGAAAAGGCGGTGAAAATCCGTAACTAGGCCGTGAAAATCTGTGAGAAACGACTTCACAAACACGGCTTTCGTTTTATGAGCATGCGTTGCTGTAGATTAGGGGTGTGTTACGCCTGCAAAGGTTTGTGAAATTCGCAGCCTTTAACCCTGAGCGTTTTTTCATGGTTTTACCTGAAGTGCTAGCCCAAGCATATGTAAGCTATCAAATTCCAGGAAGGCATTCTTGGAGCTGCCGGGAGGGTTTTCATACCAACTTGATGTTTTGACATACGGAGGCAAGGCGACATGGACGAGAGGAAAGCGCCCGAAGCAGGGCGTTCCTAAGCATTTAAAACGTCGTTGTTTCAGCAAAGTGGGTAACTCGCTGCACGTGGATTGCGCACGGAAGGCTCCAGACTGGCAGACTGGCTGCTGGCTGGCAGCTCCAGCTCCAGACTGCAGACTTGCCAAGCTCCAGACTGCCAATTCCAAACTGGCAGCTGCCACCGCTGGACTGCAGCCTGGCCGCTGCCAGCTCGAGACTGCCAAGTGTGCTCTTGGAAAGCCAGCGGCACGCACAGGGCCGGCGACGGATTCAGCTCGGGCTGTGTCCGAGTTGTGTTTGCGCCCGGGCAGTAGCGATGAAGAAAAAACTTTGGATTCGCGTCGAAGCGACCAATGCCCCGAACAATGGAAACAGTCTTTCCGACCGTCTTTGATCGAAATTGTAACACTTGAGTTCGCGCTTGGGCTTGCCAATGCTAAAATTAGTATTGGCAACACACAATTTAACATTGCCAACGTGTAATTTCAGATTCCCAGTACATATTTGAGTACCGGTGAAATTAAATTGAGTACCGCTAGTACTCGATTCGCTAAACTTGGTTCGCAGTATTTCTTGTTTTGATGGTACTAGATGTAGTATTGCACACACTTAGTCTAGATTCCGGGAAACTTCTTTCACCCACTATGTGTGTTCATAAACCAACACAAAACGTGCTAAGGTTGCTCCTTTTTCGGCTCCCCTCTTGCCCTGAATTGTCTGCTGTGAACCTACGCAACCGCCTGACGGCATCACGGACCTGTCCTGCACGGCTGGACGTTGCCCGAACAAGGCAGGCTGCCCGCTTGCCTGCAATAGCTGATTACCCGCGCCACTATGGATGCATGCTGATTCCACTTTCAAGGAATGAGTTTGCTTTCAAGGAACTTAGCCTGTGTGCCATTGCTAGCAGTCGATCTGCCAACTGCCCCTAATGCGGCCAACGCGCGCCATGCTGGGCTCTTGTCAACACATCTTGAAGCGCCTGAACCTGCGCGTTGGCTTGCGGATCCAAACAAAGGACTTGGTCCTGGGCTTGTTTCAACTGCTCTCCCCGGCTCATGTTTCCTGACTTTTCAATTGGTTTACCTTATCCCTAGCTTCGGCCATGAAGTGTTCAGACTGGACTTCAGTTACCATCACTCTCCTATCGTTCTCCCCACGGCTTGAACTACCATGGTTGGCTGGTAGAGTCATGCTGATACTGGTGCAATTGAGCAGCGCTTTGCATGTTGATTCTACCCGCTGAAACTAATTGTGGTCGATGGCATCATTGTTGCAATAGACTGGTCGGAAAGGCAATGCTACTGGACTACTCAAGGGCAGGGCATACCCGATTTTCCCAACTGCCCGCTGTAGGCTTTCGTGCAGCTTTCATGCGCGACGACAGCGAAGAAGTTCTCGACCATATCGTTGTTGCACAGGCGCAGCGTCAGATATCAGTGATATCAGCATGTTAGCGTCAAGCTTTGACGGAAGCCACCGGCCGATAGCTCATTTCGGCATGTCGGGTTTCTTGAGGACGTCAAGAGATCCTTCAGCACCAAGAAGTTCCCGCCCTTGTTGGTTGCGCGCGGGCGGACGTTCTTAATCCCAAGTAAAAGAAGCCCGCACCGCGCGCACCCAATCTTGCGCCTGGCCCGTGACATCCCAAAAATGGATGTGACACCGGCGCGGCCCAAATTTTGGTCTTCGCGCTCCAAAAACTGATGCGATCGGGGATCTGGGTATATGTAGGAGAGCGATCCAACACACGCGATTCCCGCTGCAGACGGTTCGTCACGCAACCCGCACGGAGCGCTGCGAGAGCGTTCCGAAACGCGGGTTCCTCCCAGACCCCCAAGCTCAGGCAATCTAGCGGCGCGCGTTGGACACCTTTCTGCGCACCTGCCATCTGGCGATGCTAAACGCAGCCAGGCCAACAAGTGTTCTCGCCCAATCGTCGCCGACTTCTTGCCAAGTCGCGGCTGGACTCTCGCCAAAGCGCATCATTTAAACACGGGGTATCAAGCAACGTCGTTTGTAGAACCAACGCTCAACGGAAGTCTTTGGAGGCTCTAACGCCAGCCAGCTTTGAAACTCACACGCGCCACAGCGAGAGCACGATCTCCGCAAACAGTTCGCCGGCTACGTGAAAAATTTGCACGGCACCACCGCTAAATATAGCGAGAGCGATTCGACACACGCAACCCCCGCTGCAGACGATTCGTCACGACCCCCGCGGAATCCCGACCCGACCCTGCCCTGCTTCCGAGACGGCCCTGCGCAGCCGAGCTTTGCGCAGTCCAGCTCTGCGCAGCCTTGCGCTGCGTAGCCCAGCCCTGCGCAATCTGGCTCTGTCAGTCGTGCGAATTGCACGATGAACCGTCTGCAGCGTCGGCTCGCTTTTGCTGCGGCGCGCGCAAACTTCAAAGCTGGCCGGCGGCTGCTGCGCAATTAAGGCTATGCATGTGCGCAGAGCAGACCCGTGAATAGCAAAGCTGTGACATGCTGAGCTGAGTATTCGCCAATACGCCAGAATGACTGCGCAATCGCTCCGCAACCGCTGCGAGTTTGAAGCTGCGCAAACAGAGCAAACCCTTTCCCAAAGAACCCTGCCCTAACGAATTCGGGAATAAAACGCGGGTGATGCCGTCGCATTAGCCCATAGGTCAGCTGAGCAGCTCGGGAGCGCCTGCCACCTTCGACAGCTCCTGCAAGCCCAGAACAGCGACGCATCAACCAGCCAAGCCCAGGAAGCCAACTGGTCGGCGTAGCTCTGGGTCATACTGACTCAAGCTAAACAAAGAACTGCCTGTTTGTCTGTAGTCCCATGATTTGCGCAACTCACACTGTGAGTCACGTTCCAAGCGTCCCCGCGCCACACAACACCGAGCCAAGACAGCTGCAACTCCTTCTGACAGCGACCTCCCGTCCTTCATCAGCAACCCGTTGCAGTTGGGATGCAAAATGTCGCTGCTGCCTGCTACGCAGCCCTGCGCGTTGGAAAGGGTGACTGGAGGCAAGCGTGCGGCCAACCCTTGCGATCTGCCCCAACCCCCCTCGCACAGGGCCCGTGTTTTGGGACTTTGGAGGGCTAAGCTCCAACTGGGGCCCACACCTTAACCTAAACCTAGACCCTACGCCCAACATGTCCTGCGGGGTAAAATGCACATGGACACAGACGCGCTTTCAAGCTGTCCCGCCTTGTTCTTCTGCGCCTCTTCCAAGACCTCAGCATCCACAGGAAGCTGAGCCAAGCAGAGCCAAGGGAAAACCCTCCTTCGAACGGAAACATCCGTGGCACAGGACAGATCATTTGAAAAAGATGGAAGAGCAATCGCTCCACATGCGGAGGATGGTTGTGAGCAGTACTAGCAGAACAACTCGTCTTGTATCCACCATGTCCCCAAACCAAAACTGCACCTGCGATCTTCCTTTGGCTCATCTGTAGCACTCCAGCTTGGCCTTGGACCCCGAACAGTCATGATCCAGGTGGTGCCGCTGTTGGGCAAAGATAGAAGGATCATGGTGGGCAGCCGCAAGCGCAGCTGTCCTGCGGGGCCCCGCACCTCAGGAAGTGAGACAAAGCCCCTAGAGCGCGCTGTGAACTTCTCGGAAAGGACAAAAAGGGCAAAAGGCTTGTGAGGCCAACAAAACGTGAAAGGAAGCCCGCTCCGCTCCAGATTTCCCAAAGGCACCCACTCGTCCCCGTGCAGCGCCAAGGGCTGGGGCCGGTCCCAGGGCCGAAGGCGCGGAGCGAAGTGCAGCTTGGGGCACGGCCGCCAGCCTGCCACGTCTCGACTGGAACCTCACGGCTGTCTTCCCTGACAAAACCGCATTCCTTGTCAATCCTTAATCCTTGTCAGCAAGCAATACTAGTTTCCACATGCCCTTCCCTGCCTGGAACACTAGGGAGTTTGAATCGTCACCCCCGCCCATATCTTCGCTGAATGACCTTGTTGAACATGACACTTGTTGCACGCGTAACATGAAGATCATCACCCAGTTAAACATGATGGTGCAGTAAGTTGCCTCAAGCGAGCTTGGCTAACAATACGAAGCGGACACTTTCCAGGGGGCCACTCAAGAATTCAAAGCAGCCGGCAGGAAATATCAACACTGCCTCAGCAATCAGCAAGAGCAGCAAACCGAACAAGCAAAAATATATTTGCGCGACAATGTGGGGAACTGTCATGGTCCGCTCGCGCAAAGCAATTTGCCAGTAAACTGACTGAAATTTACTGGAGATATCCCTACAAGCTTGCAAACAGCCAGTTTTGCCAGTTTTGCATTAGAAGGGTGTGTCCTCGGCCCTGGGTTTTTGCACCCAAGTTCTTTTGTCATGACCCATGCGATTTGTCTAGTTGGACACCCCAAATCAAATTAAACCTTGAGAAGTCGAAAAATAAACAAAACCAAGTTCTAAGAGGGATGCTTGGTTCTACTCGCTTAGGCACCTCAAACAGAACAAAACTTCGAGAAATCGAAGAACCAAAAACCAAAGTCATGGGAGAGATGACAGGGTGTACCAGTAATGTCCTCTGCAAAAATGTTTTCTGTTTTCTCCGATTTATCGAGTTTTTCCCTGTTTTCTATACATCGTGGTAATCCTCATGCACATGTGTCGTCCTACGAGAGGAAACATGGCAGTGTCTGCGCAAGCTGCATTGTTCCAGGCTGCTGCGCGCAAGTCGCTCTCTGCAAGCTGCTGCACGCAAGTGGCTCGACATCTGTCTTCAAGCTGTTCTGTGCACGTTGCTCTGTGCAAGTTCTCTCCGCAAGATGCTCGGCGCTTGTGTCTGTGGGCAAGATGCTCAGCCTCAGCTGAGCTGTGGAGGTGCTCCGCGCACTATACGTCTGCGCTTCAGGGTTGCGATTTTCCGGTCGGAGCCGCCAGGAGTACACTCCACATACTACGGCTTCTTTGCTTGAGCGGGAGCTGCCGCGGACCAGGGGGCAATCGAGCCCGCGACCGCGATTGCGAAAGCAGGCGCGCAAACCACGAGATAACTTTCAAACACCCCTGGTCATCGGGTATTGATTCTAATCAATAGAAATCAGTATCTTTTTATTGATATTGATTTCGTCGGTTTCTATTGATATAATCAGTATATTTTTCCAGCTAGGATTTTAAGACCTTACTGATTTGACACTGCATAGCTTCTATTGATTTGGGCGCTGTAGTTTCTCTTGATTTGGAATATGCAGTTTCATCTGCAGTTTCTATTGATTTGACACATGGCCAGTTCAATCATGTTTCTGCACATGCTTTTTCCTGCGGCATCTGTTTTGGATTTGTTCAGTTCCCAAACTACACATCTCAATATAGTGTGTATAAATGTATATACATGTGTCGATGCTAAGGCTAATACTCAAGAACTGTTTTACATATTGGTATGTGTGTGTGTGTGACAACACGTTGGTTTACGCGTGCTTGCGTTAATGTATGTTGAGATGTCTGTCCACACATATCAATTACCCATGGGGCTTCTACATTGTTACTCCCCTAATGACAGTGGCGCATGTGGAGGCACAGTCGAAAACTAAAAGCTTGAACAACAAGTTGGGGACCTGTTTGTTTGATGCCTAGTGCGTCGGAAACCCAAATTTTGGTGGGCCCAGCACCAAAAACCATGTGAAAACTGAAAGCTATCAGTTCAAATTTTGGAAGGCCAAGTGAGCAGTAAATCTGAGGACTGAAAAATATGAACCACATTTCGGGATGCCCAAGAGACAACACACACACATCACCATGACAAAATGCAAACGGCCCAGTGAACAGGAAGCTTGAAAAACTATGAAGCAACGAATTTCGCAACTGCTGGTTGCCAAAGAGATTTACAGGCCACATTTTTTTCAGACACCTCGCTCTGGCCGGGTGTAAGAAACCAAGTTTGAGGAAAACCAAACGGCAGGACAAACATTAGGTGATAGAACATATGGGGACCACACATGTTTATGGGTGAAACAAGATTGAAAATGCAGTTAAGGAAAACTTCTGGACTACACATTGTCTGTGGCCTCAATATATTGCACGCATTGTCACTCACCATTGGTCCAAGACCAAGGAGGTGAGACAGGCGAAGAAGACAATTTTGAGAGACTATTCCGTTGACACTGACAATCAAGATGATCCACAAGATATCAAGCATTGCGACTATAGTGTCACATCCGCCGAAATGTGCAAGCTCCTAACCAACAAAATCCTTATGTTGGGGGGAGAATGACACAGACTGGCACCATCCATTGCTAGTCAACATTAGCTGCGTCAGCTGGCCACCGAAAATTCCCCAAGCTCAGATTGATCGTCGAGATCGATATTCGAAGAACCGCTGGGATGTTCGCGACCAAGGCTACTATTCGGTCACTTATGACCATATTCCTCAGCGCAGATGTGATTCTTTCCACATGATACGCATTTCACTTTGGAATTGCTCTGAGATCCAACCGAGATTCATTTTCTGAATGATGGCTTTCGCTCCGGACATTGGCCTGCTGCCCCGCCACATATTTGACAAACAAGGGTGACTACAGATTTTAGTGCGTGAACATGTTTCGAATTTTTAGTTAAGGAACATTTTGTGGACTGCAACTTCCTGCGACCTCAAACGTTTGCAGGCCAAATGTTTGACAAACAATCTGAGTGACTACATGTTTTTGAGGAAAGGGTGTCATTCATGACAATTATTTTGTCACAATACTTTCACCAATAGAACAAATGTCGTCACCAATTTGTCTGACAAATATTAGGGCTGCAAATTCGTGAGGCCATAGAAAGCTGTAGTCCAGATATCTTTCCTTAATTTTGAGTTTCCAAATTGTGTTTACCTACAAGTTGTAATCATGGACTTGTTTGTCAACTAGTTGGCCTGCAACATCTTGAGGCCACAGGAAGTTGTTGTCCAAACAAACTGGTTGAATCAAGTTCTCAAAATATGGCGACCCATAAAATAATGAAGTCACCTTTGTTTCTGTCAAATATCTGGACTGAAATTTTGAGGCCACTGGACATTGTAGTCCAGAAATGTCCCTTAATCCCATGTTCATTGTTGGCCCATAGTATTTTTTCTGACAAATATTTGGCCTGCGCAATTCTGAGGCCACACGGCACTGTAGTCCAGAGATTCTCCGTAACTATATATTCTAAATATGTTGACCCATAAAAATCTTGTGGTCACCAAGTGTTCTGTCAACCATTTTGCCTGCAAACTTTTGAGGCCACAGGAAGCTGTAGTACACAAAGTGTTCCTTGACCATGTGTTAAAAATATGTTCATCAACTGAAACATGTACTCACAAGTTTGTTTGGCAAGCATTTGGCCTGCAAATTCTTGAGGCCACAAGAAGTTGTAGTCCATAAATATCGTGTGACTCTATTTTCCAAATACGTCGACCCATAAACTTGTGTACCCACCTATTTCCTGTGTCAAACATGTGGCCTGTCAAAATGTTGAAGCCAAAGAAAAATATGGTCCAGGGATGTGCCTCAACTATATGTTCAACATATTTTTGGACAATAAAATGTGTGGTGGCCAATTGTTCAGTCAAACATTTGGCACGCAATGTTTGCCGCAGGATATTGTAAATCAAACATTTTTATTGACCTATATGGTCAAACTATGCTTGTCCATAACGCCCTCTTTTCGAGGGGTTGATTTTAATTGGGATGGCTCAACACGATTTGCCCTAGACTCACAATTTACATTGGGGACAATATTGAGTGTTCCATTTTGGGGGGGCTCTCAATTCCACATGCTTCCAAAAAAGTCAATTTTGATCAAATTTGATCAAATCTGATCAAATCAAATTTGATCAGATTTCATCAAATTTCATCAAGTTCGTTGTTTTTGCTGTGATGCCCGCACAAGCATAAACTAGTAGTATTTGCCCGAAGTGTCCGGGAAATTCTAACAACCATTTTCCTCAACTTGTTCCCAACCTTTTTCCTCAACCTTTTTCCAAACGTGTTCCCAACACGCTTTCCCAACCTTTTTCCTCAACCTTTTTCTCAACTTGTTCCCAACCTTTTTCCTGAACCTTGTTCCCCAACCTTTTTCTCACCTTGGTCTGAACCTTTTTCCCCAACCTTTTTCTCAACTTGGTCCCAACCTTTTTCATCAACCTTTTTCCCCAACCTGCTTCTCAACTTGTTCCCAGCCTTTTTCCTCAAACTGTTTCTCAACTTGTTCCCAACCTTGTTCCTCAATCTTTTTTCCAACCTTTTTCCCAACCTGTTTCCTCACACTTTTTCCCCAACATTGTCTCAACTTGATCCCAACCTTGTTCCTCAACCTTTTGTTCAATCCTTTTCCCCAACTTGTTCCCAGCCTTTGTCCTCAACCTTTTTCCTCAACCTTGTTCCCAACCTTTTTCCTCAACCTGTTTCTCAACTTGTTCCCAATCTTTGTCCTCAACCTGTTTTTAAAACCTGTTTCTCAACTTGTTCCCAACATCTTTTCTTCAACCTGTGTCCTCAACCTTTTTCCCAACTTGTTCCCAACATCTTTTCTCAACATGTTTCTTCAACCTGTTTCTCAACTTGGTCCCAACCTTCTTCTTCAACCTGTGTCCTCAACCTTTTCCCACCTTGTTCCCAACATGCTTCCTCAACCTTTTTCTTCAACCTGTTTCTTAACTTGTTCCCAACCTTTTTCCTCAAACTGTTTCCTCAACCTTTTCCTCAACCTTTTCCTCAACCTTTTTCTCAACTTGGTCCCAACCTTTTTCCTCAACCTTGTTCCTCAACCTTTTTCCCAATCTTTTTCCTCAACCTGTTTCTCAACTTGTT